AGCGAAGGCATCGGAAACCGTCCCGTTTTCGATGACGTCTGTCATCATCCCGTCGTGGAACTGACATGCCGTTTGGATAAAATGCTCAGTACAGCCGAGCTTCTGCATGACATATCGAAGTACAGCACGATTCACCGTGTCAAATACTTTCCACAAAAGTGGTGTAGAGGTGGGCACGCATCTCTTGGTACTTCTACTGCAGCTGTCGAGCGGCAAAGATCATGTCAGTGGTGCCGCGATGAAAACGAAATCCACACTGACTTTCTGGCAAGAGTCCTTGTTCCAGGTGGTTGCTGAGACGGTTTAAGAGAACCCGAGCGAATATTTTGTCGGCATAACTGAGTGGCGAAATTCCATGGGGACTGTCATAGAGTTGGCGGTTCTCTTTTCGCTTGTGGAGGTGGATGGTTTTGACGTCCTTGAAATCCTTGAGACTTGAACTTGGATCCACATCACCTGGAAGAGCAAGGTGAGGTGTCTTCCCTATTTGTAAACCTCAACAAGGAGCGCGTCTGATTCGAGTGCTTCCCCGCTGTAGAGCTGCTGCACGGCCCTGACGGTTTCCTGAGAAGTTGGTGGGAGATAGAGGTCAGCGTTGATTTTCACCAGAGGCAGGCGGTCGATGGCGGCATTGGAGATGGGGAAGGAACGGGGGAATACGCTTCATAATCTAAGTCTGCTCAGTGCGTAGAGTAGCTTCGTCATGGCAAAGGAAAGGAGATACTTCTTTGACTGTAGAACCGTAGAAAGCCTTCATCGCAGCAAATATGTTCTTCCATCCATTGTGGTCCGCGATACCTTGGATTTCCACGCCTTTGCGAGCCATCCAGGCATCCTGTATTTCCCACTGCCGCTGGTATACAAGATGACGTCTCCGTTTGTAGGCTCGTTTGATGGCGTCGGTAGGGCGGTTAACGTAGGCTTTGAGCAAACGGTTCTCCTTCGCGAGCAGACTGCTGATGACTGCATCATTCTCGCCAAACCAGTCTTGATGTTGCCGACATGCGCGGTCGAGGGCACTTACGGTGGTAAATTGGACGGTCTTCCTCCGCTAGCACCATCGGTTCTCTATGGAGGTGTTTTCGTCTACGACTGGAAAATTGGCTGCGTTTTTCGCCAACTCATTCATACAATGCAGATGAGTAGCAGGCAACTTCAACAGAAAATTATTAAACTTACCGTGGGTTTGCATGCCTGGACGCCTCCTGTAGCCGAGGGCGACTTGGATGCATTCCCAGTAGGGATGAGATGGTGCTCTGCGCAGTTTAACAGGTTTCCTTATGCACACAAACAGACAACCGCGCCTAACTACACGCATCCACACAAACACGAATCTTTGTTTGCAACGTTTTGATACTGTCGAAATTTACGAGCCCATTTCGCATCTTGTGTAATGCCGACATGGAGCGTCACAGTAAATCATGTTCAACACAGGTTAGCCAGCGGCACGATGAGATCAAGTTTACAGATCACCACAGCGGTATATAATGCCATCGAAACATTTTTGGTGGTCATTTTTGCGGACTTGCATTGATTGGTACGTGTGGCGCTCTAGAAATCAGAAAATGACCTTAAGTTACGACGAGGTTCTAGAGAGAGTCTATGGAACGGGTCTGTACCAAATTGTCCTCACGATCTGCTGTTCACTTTGTTCCATGATGTTGTCC